GAGCTGTAAAACCACCTGTAATTTAATAAATGTACAGTGGAGCTGTTTAATGTCACACTGTGGAAGATTCCAGACAGAGTAGTGACATTTTCATGAAGAAATTTGTATTTGTGTTTTGTATACTGAAAACAATCCAACAGAACCCAGTACAATCCAGTAAAACCAGCATTAGTGAACGTATAGAGCCTACTTGTGAAAGTTGCAAAAGTCCCATCCACTGTGCTGAACTGATTGCTGTTGACCTATTGAAATTTATATTGAGGATTTTCTATATACATACAGGTTCATCTTTGATCGATTGTTATTCCATCAATTGTATTGCTGGGTTTCAGACGACATCATAACACTCTGTAGGCCAATAATATTTTACACAATAATATTTACATGCCCAGTCCCCAAGCCTATGTCACCCACAATTGTTCATAAATACACAAAAGCATGATANCTGTGTTTTTAAACTCCATACATCTTCAACATAGAATAATTTTAGGTAATTTCAGCCTGAGACTAGCCAATCTCTTTCAAATTAAAGGTAAAAGGTAGTTGTTGAACTTGAAAACTACCACTTCATGACATCACGAGGAGGAACAGAGCATTTTAAGCTTTGGAGATTCAGACAGACGAATAATAAAGAGTTACTCAAACATGTGTGAATGAAACAAAACACAACTCCAGGTCTGTTTGTGATGAGGAAACAGCATTATAACATGGCATAAAGTTCATAAGAGTCAATTTTGTGTAATACAGGACCTTTAAATAAAAAAAAAAAAAAAAAAAAATCAATAAGAATTTAGTATTGGGAAAAAATATTATTATTATTATTATTATTATTATTATTATTATTATTATTATTATTATTAATTTATTTATGTATTATATGTAAACTTTCAATTAACATTTCAAAATATTACGGTTCTCACTTAATTTTTTTATTCTTTATTTTTCTCTGTGGCTTGGTGGCGTCGCTTCGTTGTGTCCATGGCGATAAATAATCATTAAATGCCACACTGCGAAACATTTTAGCCACGACGACAAGCAGGCGCCAAAACAAAACCCTCCACCAGAAAAGTTACATCGTGTCCCTTTAACTCTAAAACGAAAATCCCCACAACAAGTACTACGTAATTACAACAGGTTTGAAAAAAGTACTGCAGTTCATTAAAGTACAGCGTGTATCATTAGGGACGGTTACAGGAAGTACAGTAAGTATCTAAAAGAGAAGGAGGGTGTGTTCGAAATTTCAAATACATGCAAATTGGCACCGAACTGAGACTGGGACTGGAACCTAGAACTAAACCAGGACTAGACTGGGACTAAACCAGGTCCAAACCAAGTCTAGCTCAGCACTAAATTGCTCAGATTATTGCGATATTTTAAATATGTTGTATTTATTTTGCACGAAGGACGCTTTTGAAATATATACAAAAATGTAGACTGCTTAGTATTTGTACTGCATAATGTTACTTCATAATACTTCATTTTAACACAGTGTACATGTATCCACCTTACATAAGCAGGTGTGTACTGTATGTTTTTACTGCCCCTATTGCTCTGGTCTGCTGCTTCAAACTCACACTAAACATTAATAACCAGAAAAAAAAATAAAAATAAAAAACTTTGATTCAAAATTGTAATATGCGGCGTTGTAAAATTCTTCTCTTGTGAATATGTAAATGCAAACGTGTGGATAAAAAATGTGACTGGTTTAGACTGAGTTACCCAGCTGCATTTTTCTTCATTCCTAATACGTAATACTCCTACTAGGAAGGAAGTACTGTGTAAAAGTACAGTATGTATGTATGTGTCTGGTGGAACACTGAGGGGAAAAGAGACGGGACAACAGGGGCACACGGGGAGGGACGGAGGGACGGAGGGACGGAGGGGGTGGGGCAGTGATGTTGGAGATGTAGAATGTTGCATCACCCAGTATAGAAGCGAAGTCCTGATCTAGTCCTGGTTTAGGTCTAGTTTAGTCCCAGTTTTGTCCTGATTTATTTCTAGTTTAATCCTGGTTGAGTTCTGGTTTAGTCCTGTTTTAATACTGGTTTACTTCTGGTTTAGTCCTGGTTTACTTTAGGTTTAGTTCTGGGTTAGTCCTGGTTTAGTCCTGTTTAGTTCTGGTTTAGCCTTGGTTGAGTTCTAGTTTGGTTTTGGTTTAGTTCTGGTTTAGTCCTGGTTTAGTTATGGTTTAGTTCTAGTTTAGTCCTGGTTTAGTTCTGGGTTAGTCCTGGTTTAGTTCTTGTTTAATTCTGGTTTAGTTTACTTTTGTTCTGGTTTAGTCCTGATTTAGACCTGGTTTAGTATTGGTTTAGTACCGGTTTAGTCCTGATTTAGTTCTAGGTTAGTCCTGGTTTAGTTTAGTTCTAGTTCTGGTTTAGTTCTAGTTTGGTTCTGGTTTAGTTATAGTTTAGTTCCAGGTTAACTAAACCAGGTTTAGTCCTGGTTAATTCTAGTTTAGTCCTGGTTTAGTCCTAGTTTGGTTCTGGTTTAATTCTGGTTTAGTCCTGTTTAGTTCTAGTTTAGTTCTGGTTTAGTCCTCATTCAGTCCTGATTTAGTTCTGGTTTAGTTCTAGTTTGATTCTTGTTTAGTTCTAGGTTAGTCCTGGGTTAGTTCTGGTTTAGTTCTAGTTTAGTTCCCTTTTAGTCCAAGTTTAGTCCTGATTTATTTCTAGTTTAGTCCTGGTTTAGTTCTGGTTTAGTCCTGTTTAGTTCTAGTTTAGTTATAGTTTAGTCCTGGTTTAGTTCTAGTTTGGTTCTGGTTTAATTCTGGTTTAGTCCTGGTTTAGTTCTAGGTTAGTCCTGGTTTAGTTCTAGTTTAGTTTGGTTCCTTTTTAGTCCAGGTTTAGTCCTGATTTATTTCTAGTTTAGTCCTGGTTGAGTTCTGGTTTAGTCCTGGTTTAGTTCTGGTTTAGTCCTGGTTTAGTCCTGGTTTACTTATGGTTTAGTTCTGATTTAGTCCTGGCTTAGTCCTGGTTTAATCCTGGTTGGTTTCATTCCAGTTTAGTCCTGGTTTAATTTACTTTTGTTTTGATCTGATTAATCTAATACTTTTATTTTTATTTTGTGCCAAGACAGTAAGAGCAGTAGGACAGTCATTAGTACCACAACTATAATTACTGAAGTAAAATAAGAGATCACAGTAGTAGTCTAAGTAGTACTAATTAAAGTGATGCAATTTGTCTAATAGTACTTGTACTTTAGGAATTTATTTTTCTGCATTTTTATCAGTTGTTTACCTTATTTCCTCATGTTTCTGCTTCAGACTTAGTGATTTGCATGTTCACTAAGTAATATTTGCCCACTTGACTTTGAAAACATCATTTTGTTTGTTTGTCTTTTGTAACACGCGTTTTGCATTTCTTCATTCTTTGTGTTTCACCTTTGACCTGTTTCACTGAACTTGACTTTGCTTCTTTTTTTTTTTTAACTCGTCTGCGTGTGAAGAGTTTAAGTGACTGAGTTCACATGACTTAAATTTCTGGAGCTGTCACAAGCCTGTTTAGTTTGTCTGAAATAGAAATGTAACTAGTAAAATTTGCATACAGTATTTAACTAAATTAAAACATGACTTGCTTCTAATCAACTATTTATTGGAAGGTTAAGAACTGTATTTTTCATGTAGTTTTGTCCCAGTGCAGGTATATTATAAAAATAAGCTTTTACAATCAAAATTAGATTGCTGTGTACTGTTTACGCCTAATTATGAAGCGTTTCTATCGTCCGCGAACCAGGAAGTAAGGCTGGTGTGGTGTTAGTACGCTAATTGTTGTTAGCGTTACCATGACGACGAAACTCTGAAGTCTGAAAGTGGCGTAAAAGCTCTTACAAACTCATCACTGTGAATAAGTACGATGCGTTTAGAATCGTGAGAAATAACTCTGGACCACTGCAAACTATTTAAAATGAACTAATTCTTTTTTTCCACATTTTTAAGATTGTTATTTAAAGATATCGACTTAATACCTTTTAATAATAGTAAGTAATACTAATACTACTAGTAATAATAATAATAACAATACAGTTTATTTATATAGAGCTTTTCTAAACAATCAAAGATGCTGTACAGTAGGGTTGAACAATTTTAGGAAAAAATTGAATTGTGATTTTTCTGGCAGATATTGCAATTTTGATTTCATCCATGATTTTTTTTCAAATCAAATTTTAGTGCATATGAACATTTGTAAACATCACAGAAACTTACATCATACCAGAGTCCTGCGCCGACGATTTGACGTTGGACCGTTTGCGCACATTTGTTTACGTTTTACAAAAATGAAACTTAAATCACACGGCTCATTTGCATAAATTATAAGCGCTGAAAAAAACAGCTCGCTCCTTGTGCGCTGATGCGGGTCAGCTTCTGTCGGACTAAAGGACACTGCTCAGGCTACGTTTACACTGAAACACTATATCACCGTATCGGAAACGATTTGCGTCCACACACGTCGTTTCTGTGTCCGCGATTAGTGTGGACGAACACTGCATCTACAACGAAAACCACTCGAATACGTACTAGTGTGAACGGGGCCTCAGTGGAATATGAGTTTTCTTTCTGTGACAGAGGGGTGTTCTGCTGATGGTGAGTCTGGTCTGTGCTTCTATTGTGTTGGAGATTTTCATGTTAAACTTTACGCCCCCTAGTGTTGTGGCGGTGAATTGAGTTTTAGGAGCACTGCAAAACAACACAGCTGTGACTCTCCCAAAATCATGTTGTCTGAAATCGCAATTTTCGGTCCAAAATGATACATCGTTCAGCCCCACTGTACAGAGAATACAATTTAAAATAGTACATATAAAATAAAGATACAGACACGATAATAAAATCAGATTAGACATGTTTTTCTCAACTTAGATTTCCAAATAAATCCAACAAGCATCATTACAACATCTCTCCAGGTGTATCCACTCCTCATCTCCTACCTCCACATTTTTAAGACTGTAAATAATCAAGTTTCTCTCAATTTACATTTACACGTATAATTTCACCATCTCTCCAGGTGTATCCACTCCTCGTCTCCTACCTCCTAGCTCCTCCGTCCTCGACTCCTCAGGATGCCTCCTCAGCTTCAGTCCCAGAACCAGAACGGTACGCGCGTGGTTCAGGGGGATCTGGGCGCGCTCAGTCCGGCCGTGAGGGAGTTCGTGGAGACCAACGTCGCCCTCTGCCAGCCGGAGTGTCTGCACATCTGCGACGGGTCCGAGGAGGAGAACAAGGCTCTCCTGGTGCAGCTGGAGGAACAGGGCCTGCTCAAGAAGCTGCCCAAATACCACAACTGGTAAGAAATATTCAAATATTTTATTACATTGTTCCTTCGTCAAAATCATATCCTTGTTTTATATTAAAGACCCTATAAGCTCTTCTGAGGTTTAAGCTGTGTTATAATGTTGTAACCTCCTCAAACATACTCAAAATATCGTGATTTTGTATTCGTCAAAAGTCTCTATAATAACGTGGACCATCACAATATATCGAATCACAAGTTTCTTTGCTTAAATTAATTGTTATGGTGCAGAAATACCTAAAAAAAATAGAGGGAACTACATCGACCATGGTGCTTTGCTCTGTTTTTGTGCAAACAACATGAAGAAATAGAAGTTTTAAGCACTTTTAAGTCTTACTTCTTTGGATTAAGTCTTGTCAAGGCATTTTAAGAGGAAAAAGTAACCCTCCACAAAATATCGCAATAAATACCGTACCGTGAGATGTACACTACTGGTCAAAAGTTTTAGAAACACCACACTTTTTCCTTTCCAGTTTTTTATGGTTTACTGTTGACGAAAACTTATTTCTAAACTTTTGATTGATGAAAGTGTCGACCTTTGGCAGATATAACAGCTGAACACACTCGTGGCTCGTTCTTTTTACTACAGAAAACAAATATTCTTCAGAAAGTTCTTCCCAAGTCTGTTGCAGAAGTTCTTATAAATGTGTTGGCACTTGTAGGTTGTTTGACTTTCACTCTTCTGTCCAGTTCATCTCAAAACAGCTCGATGGGGTTTTAAGTCTGGAAACTGTGCTGGACGCTCCATGTTTTCATGCTTTACCATCTTGTTTATTTTTTCCTGAGGTAGTTTTGGCAGAGCTTGGACTTGATTTTTGTTCTTTTATCTTTTTTTTTAAACCTCTGGCTATTCAGTTCTTACCTTTGTACCATTTCCAGCTCGTCACTGGACTTGCACGACTTGAACTGCAATAAATAACTGGAAAAAATTAGGGTGTTCTAAACTTTTTTGACCGGTAGTGTAGATCGTGAAAATATCGTACCGTGAGATTTGGATATCGTTACATCTCTAATACTCACAGTTCTGTTTTGTCTCATTCACACAAGTTTGAGTAATCCTTTATTATTATTCTGTCTGAATGCTCCACCTCGTGCCTCCGTTCCATTTCATTTCTCTCCAGCGACTAGGTCAGGAATCGTAATACAATAGACGGTTCGCAAAAACCCCAGAAATGCAAGTTCGGGCACCAGCCAACCAGCGAAGAGCCATATATTCCCGTGTTGTCAACAATTCCCGAGATCGAGGATTTAAAGCCGGAACAAAGAGAATGTTTGATGAATTTTATCAACGGGAAAGACTTTATTGTTCTTCTTTCTACGGGAATTTGGAGCATTAAATACGTCACGACCAAATAGCAGCGATTGATTAAATAAAAAAACTTACCCACCTACTGTCGAGCGAACGAATCCTAATGCCGCGAGGTCAGACGGTTTCCGTGAAGTGAAACCGGCTGATGAATCAGGCTACGTGCTCTGTTCCACCTTGTGATACCCTAAAGTAGTAGTTTTTCATTTTTTACTTTTTACCTTCAGTTCAGCAGAGATCGGCAATTCCAGGTCTGAAATCATCCAAATGATTCTACTGAAGGTGTGTGGAGTTTAAAAACACAGTGGAGCACTTCCTGTATTCGAGTTTTCTGTTTGAAACGCAATTCCAAGTATGTTTTTGATGAGAAAAAATCTGAAAATAGGGTAATATGGGCCCAGTAACTCGTAATGATGACAGCATTTTTTGTTGTAACATTGCAGTGGGCTTGGTATTACAGTCCATTGTTTTGGTTAGAACACTGCGTTTTATAAAGAATGTGTTTATGTGTACGTACCGCTCATGTGTTTTCTCTAAAAAAAAAAAAATACCCACAGTGTGTTCTCAGTTTGTCTATAGAGGCTGTAGATTATGTTTGTGTAATTGCCTGAGCTCCAGTTTGGTGACATCTCTGTTCCCTGTGATGTCAACAGTGTTATGGGACAAAACAGCTGCTGACGTCGAACTGTTTTGAGTGTAGATGTTTTCTTTTGAGTCAAACATGATTCACACAGGTACAATTTTGTGGTTACATACGGTGCATTGTGTAACTTTTATGCTGGAGGGTTCGTGAAACGTGGAAATGTTATTGCTTTTTCACTAATGTTTCACAGTATGGTTAGTGTTAAACCTTTTTATCTTGATGGAGATCAAACTAGACCGGTCAAATCTGTGGAGAGGCGACCCCGCTCACAGTCAGAATTCCTGTTTTCCTAGGTATTTTTGAGCTGTAAAACCACCTGTAATTTAATAAATGTACAGTGGAGCTGTTTAATGTCACACTGTGGAAGATTCCAGACAGAGTAGTGACATTTTCATGAAGAAATTTGTATTTGTGTTTTGTATACTGAAAACAATCCAACAGAACCCAGTACAATCCAGTAAAAGCAGCATTAGTGAACGTATAGAGTCTACTTATGAAAGTTGCAAAAGTCCCATCCACTGTGCTGAACTGATTGCTGTTGACCTATTGAAATTTATATTGAGGATTTTCTATATACATACAGGTTCATCTTTGATCGATTGTTATTCCATCAATTGTATTGCTCGGTTTCAGACGACATCATAACACTCTGTAGGCCAATAATATTTACACAATAATATTTACATGCCCAGTCCCCAAGCCTATGTCACCCACAATTGTTCATAAATACACAAAAGCATGATACAAAACACCACAACTTCATAAACTTGCGCTGCAATGTGCAGTAAATGCATGTTGAATGTGTTGTTTCAGCGCTCTGAAGGGGAGTGGCACAGTGTGGTCATTTAACAAACACATCAATGAGTTGTTTTTGGAAATATAACATATTCTAAATCAGGCATGTCAAACTCAGGCCCAGGGGCCAAATTTCATCCGCAATATAATTATATTTGGCCAGTGAGATCATATCAAATATGTATTAGAGCTGGTCCACCGGCTACAGATAGACTATAGAGACAACATTTATTTCAAATTTTGCTATTATTTTATATTTTGCTTGTTCTGGATTCAATGTTTAAGCAAAACTATTCTTAAACATTTGTTTTAATAAGAAAAAGGTTTAACATTATATATCCTGAAAGAAGAAAAAACAAGTAGCCTGATTCATCAGCCGGTTTCACTTTGTGGAAACCGTTGAACCTTGCAGTGTTAGAATTAGTTCGCTCGACAGTAGGCGGGTAATTTTTTTTCATTTAACCTATCGCTGCTATTTGGTCATGATGTATCTAATGCACCACTAACGGGTCTAACTGGTATATTAAGCTTTTCCCAAATCCCGTAGGAAGAAGGACAATAACGTCGTTCTCCTTAATAAAATTCACCAAACATCTAGGGAATTGTTGCCAACACAGAATGTATGACTCTTTGCTGATTGGCTGGTGTCCGAACTTGCACTTCTGGGGTTTTTGCAAATTGTCTAGTGTATTCCGATTCCTGACCTAGTTGCTTGAGAGAAATGAAATGGAGCGGAGGCACTAGGTGGCGCCAGCCTGGCTAGAAAACATGCAGATGTTGTTGAAATTTTTCAATAAATATTTAGTTTGGCCCATAGGCTCTGTGAATTTGAGTTTGACACCCATGGACTAAACAATAAAAGTTAACATGGTGATCTAAATATTTAATTTCATTGTCCGTTGCAGTTGGTTGGCGCGTACAGACCCCAGAGACGTCGCCCGGGTGGAGAGTAAGACGGTGATCGTGACCCGAGAGCAGAGAGACACAGTGCCCTCTCCTGTCGGGGGAGGGAACAGTCAGCTGGGCCGATGGATGTCACACGAGGAGTTCGACAAGGCTGTGACACAAAGGTTTCCTGGATGTATGAAAGGTAGGTATGAAATAGGAACATGAAGGAATATAATCTATATAGGAATATGAAAAACTCACTCCAGTGGGTCAATTCCTGGGGTGTTAGAAATTGGCTTTTGGTGGATTCTATTTGATAATTGTGATAGTATTACACTGTGACCTGTATCACAATTATCAATTAACCAATTAATCTTAAAACCCCTAGTTTGCATGGAGTTCGACAAGGTTGCCCACTTTCTCCCCTCAACTTTTGACCTTTTGAACTACAAATCTTTCCACACTGTGTCACACTCCTCAGCACTACACACAGTAAGTTTAATCCTCTCTGTCTCCCCCTGCAGGTCGTACGATGTATGTGATCCCCTTCAGCATGGGTCCACTGGGCTCTCCTCTCGCTAAGATCGGTGTGGAGCTGACAGACTCGGCGTACGTGGTGTTGAGCATGCGGGTGATGACCAGGATGGGCAAAAGCGTCTTGTCCCAGCTGGGCAACGGAGAGTTTGTGCGCTGCCTGCACTCGGTTGGATGTCCTCTGCCGCTCAAAAGTAAGAAACAAGAAAATTATTTAAAGGGCCCTTGTTTCACTGTTTTCTGATCGATGTTATAATGTTGCTTCCACATCATAAACAGACCTGGGATTGTGTTTTGTTTCATTCACATGTATTTAACACACAAATTCCAATATTACTCAGTGTATTTAAAATGAGTTATTCTCTCAAAACAGTGTGTTCCTCTTTGTGATGTCATGTGGTCAAGTGCTTCACCTTCACAAGAATAATTTGGATAATTTCAACCCTAGAATTGCCAATCTCTACTAAACAACAATAAAAAAATAAAAAATAAACTACCGCTTCATAACATCACAAGTTGGAGCAGAGCATTTTGAGCTTATTAAAACATGTGTGAATGAAACAAAACATAACTCCAGGTTTGTTTTTGATGGGGTAACAACATTTTAACATGTCTTAAAGCTCAAAAGAAGACTACATTAAAAGCACAACTCCTTTTCTTTTCTCTAGAGTGCGCCCTCCTACATTTAAAATAAAATAAAATACCCCTAGAGGCTCTATTCACGTTATGTCACAAAACAGGAAGACGTTTGGAAAGATGCGATTACAACTTCCTGCTGGCTCTGTTCACAGTCATAAGTCTGACAAAATCTAGAAAAAAATGAGAAAATGTCCCAGTTTTCTTCATGTCCATGTCATTGCAAAGTTCCGTTATGTTCGGCAAATTAACAATTACAACCACTAACTTAAATTACAACTAACTACACCGAAAGTTGTAATCGCATCTTTCCAGACGTCTTCTTGGTTTGTGACGTAAGCGTGAATAAAGCCTGTCGACACTTATATAATCCCTCTCTTGACTTTACTGTTGCGTTCCAACACACATATTAGCATCTTATTTAAATATGGAAATACAGTCTTGTTCACTTTGCAAATTGTTGTTTAGTTAAATGTCTTATGAAACAATACTTCTGAGAAACAGGACGGCAGGAACACTCGTATTTGCAATTAACATTTTTGTTGCTTTGTCAACAACACAACAAAAATTTACTGAATTCAGCTTTAAACACTAAGGAATGTATGAATAAAGTTAAATGTAATTTGAGAACTTAAAGTACATATGACAGGTTAGACCACAGGTGTCAAACATAAGGCCCGGGGGCCGGATCCGGCCCTCCAAGACCTTTAATCTGGCCCTCGGCTGATTTTCTACTAAAATATTTTAATTATATTTTCTATTAAAATATTGATAATTTTCTGTGCCTGTGCATAGCAGTGTCTCCAGCGCCTCTGTGCGTGGCCCCTCCCAACAGAGCAGCACAAATGAAGACTTGTCTCTTTCCAAACGCTCTTAAAGGACGATCATTTTTGACCTCATCAGCAAAATGTCAAAAGTGAGAAAAGTGGACGTCAAGTGCAGGATTTTCCAAGAAAAATTGACTTATTCCTATTTGCATACAAGTTAATGTTAAAACATTGAGTTGAAATTGCATTTTTCTTAAAGTTTCAGGTTGTTCATAATATTATAATATTTTGTAAAAAAAAAAAAAATTAGTTAATCAATTAAAAAAGATTTCTGTAATAGATTTGTGTTTCTCTGCACAAATATTTGAACTTATTGTTTTTTTTGGGGTTTATATGACATGAGTTTTCTCATCCGGCCCCTTTGGGATCAAAGTAGGTTGGATACGACCCCCAGACCAAAATGAGTTTGACACCCCTGGGTTAGACTATTCAAAACAAAAAATCTAGATTCATAATTTTCATAATTTTGGTGACATTAATAATTTTACTTTCTGGTTAGACACGTTGCAGATGCAACGTACGCAGGGGTAATTACATAACTCTTAGCAAGCAAAATATTAAATTGCACAGTAGATAAAAAAAATTAGAAACTTTATTTTAATGAAGTAAACTCCCAGAAATGTGCCTTTTTTGTGCGTAAATTGTCCATTAAAGTTTTTGGTGAAGATTTCCATGTTGATGACATAGGTAGAGGCATTCAGTTTTAAAATTCTGCGCTATTTCCTGTATTTTTGTGCTTTATCAACTTTTTTGCTCAAACTGCCATGTGTCTGATGTAAAAATACCACAGATATTATCCCACCAAACATCGTGATAATTACAAAAACACAAATATCTGTCCATATGCACTTTAATAATTACTGTCAACACTGTTTTTCTCTTGTAGAGCCGTTGGTGAATAACTGGCCGTGTAACCCCGAGCTGACCCTGATCGCCCACATCCCGGAGAAGAGGCAGATCGTCTCCTTTGGCAGCGGGTACGGAGGAAACTCTCTCCTGGGCAAAAAATGCTTCGCCCTGCGCATCGCCTCCAGGATCGCCAAAGAGGAGGGCTGGCTCGCAGAACACATGCTGGTAAGAAACGTCTAGAAACATCGAGAGAATAAGAGTAAAAAGATAGATTTTGGTATCCAAGAATAGGGTCCTTGCGTGTGGAATTTGCATGTCTGGGTGGCATTCAGTAGGTCAATCCTTCATCTATTTACTTGGTACTGATTTACTTGGTCCTTGGGTTGGGTCAAATGTGTGGGCAGTTAAGGTTATAATGTCCCCATTGGGAAATTTGTTCTTTGCATTTGACCCATCGTTCAATGCTGTTGGAGCAACCTGTCAGGGACTCAGATCTTTACCTAGACTTTGTCAAAACTATCTTAACCGTAGAATTTAACCTTTCACAAAACATAGTCACAAAACAAAACCAAAAATAATAGATAACAATAATAATAACAAATTATTTTTTAAATAAGTACAGGAGCACTCTTAGAAATATTTATTCTAAACGTAATGTGTCACGTTTACTTATATTTTGGTGACCACCTCTTTCTTTATGCACATAACAATGCTGAACACATCGTACTGTATTTTTCAGTCGCATTAGCCAAAAAATGCGTAATGAAAGAAGAAAAAAACATATATAACAGAACAGAACATCTCCATCTCACTCCAAATCACTAAATCCATTCAATTCTTCATCCTCCGGTGTCACTTCTGAGCAACTTCACGACCTACGGAGGTAAAAAGAGCGCCGCTTCCTCTTCTGTGTAGCTGTCGTCAGACTCAGCATCAGTTCCAGTTAGAATTATTCCGGTCTTTCTGAATCCCGACAGGATGGTTTCAGTGTCACTGAAGTCCAGGCTTTGTTGGTCCATCCAGTGACTTCCAGAAAATCTGCAAGGCACAACCTCCTGGTGGCTGTGAAGCTGTCTTCTCCATCCCTCACAAGTTTCTCGCTCACTCCAAACTTTCTTTCTGCTGCTTGATTAACGTTTTCGGCTGCATATTTCACTACGTGCAGCAGGACAGATGCTCTTTCTGCAGGAGACATGCGCAGTAGAGCAAAGTGTCAGTGGTACAGGAGTAACAGAAGCAGCAGATACTGACACACAAGACTAGAGCCTCTCACGGCTGTCAGTGTGAAAATTTTAATATATAAATCGCATCATAGTATAAGTTGCAGGAAACACCCAAACCATGAAAAAAGTTAACTTATACTCTGAAAAATACAGTAGTTAAACCTGTGTATATTTTTGTTGATTTCAGATTCTGGGAGTAACCAACCCCGCAGGAGAGAAGAAGTACATGGCGGCTGCGTTCCCCTCGGCCTGTGGGAAGACCAACCTGGCCATGCTCAGGCCCACTCTGCCCGGCTGGAAGGTGGAGTGTGTCGGGGACGATATCGCCTGGATGAAGTTTGATGACCAAGGTCAGAAGAAAACCATGTCACTGTATTATGAGAATATTTAGACCACGTAGCATCCACTCATTTTTTTATCCAACAGGAAATCTTCGCGCCATCAACCCCGAGAACGGATTCTTCGGCGTAGCTCCCGGCACGTCGGCCAAAACCAACCCCCACGCCATGTCCACCATCGTCCAGAACACCATCTTCACCAACGTGGCCGAGACCAGCGACGGAGGAGTTTACTGGGAGGGCATGGACCAGGAGCTGCCAGAGGGAGTCACCGTCACGTCGTGGAAGAACAAGCCCTGGACCAAAGAAGATGGTGAGACATTAGCTCAACTTGTACTTTATGTAGGCCTACGTAGGATTTACATCAAGCGTCTGTTTTGGGAGTTCTTGTGGTTTGTCCCCTGAGCTGCACAAATACATAAACTTGTGCGATGTTTGACAGATTGGGTTCGGAGATTCGGCAAAAGGAGATGCCATGCTGTATTTAAGGAATTTTTGCATTGGTATTTTATAATTTAGAACTATTTCTTGTCTTGTTGTGCCTGTGACAAGAGAACGTACATAGTGAATGATACAAGGTTTAAATAAATATATTCAATCTGTAATTTTCTCGTCACCAAGAGTTCTGGAGGAATTAAACCAATGATCACTCTCTGTATGTCCTGCAGGTGAACCATGTGCCCACCCAAACTCTCGATTTTGCACTCCGGCCGGACAGTGCCCCATCATCGACCCGCAGTGGGAGTCTCCCGAGGGCGTCCCCATAGAGGCCATCATCTTCGGGGGCAGGAGACCAGAAGGTGTGGCTCTACTCTACTCTACTCTTCTCCTCTAAAATGAACTAAAGCTAACGTGCATTTTGGTGTGTTTTGGTGACCAGGTGTGCCGCTGGTGTATGAAGCCTTTAGCTGGGAGCATGGAGTGTTTGTAGGAGCAGCCATGAGGTCTGAGGCCACCGCTGCAGCTGAGCACCAAGGTAGGGCATCAGGGTTTTATTGTATTTTGGGAACAAAATATACTACAAGATTTTTGTTGCAATTTTTTCTCAACTTAAAGTTACTTACCCAACCACCACCGCCAAATTAAATGTCTTGCTTAAAGGGACAGTTTGGAATTTTGGACATAGGACCTCATTTCCTAGTGAGCCAGAGTGTTGGAGACGTGTGGAGACACTTTTTTAAAATATTCTATCCAGTCCTTGTATTTGCAGAGGTCGCTGGTGCTAGGCTAGTGCATGTCAATGGCCATAGTTACCCTGCCACTAAAAACAGTCTTACCCACTCCACAAAACACCCGAAGAAAATCTATTATTACACCAGACTGTCCGTGCAAATGTCTGTTGATAGAATAATGTTGAGAAGTAAAACCAACCTTACATTTGAAGGATTTATGTCTGAGCAGCAGCAGCGAGTTGTACTTCCTGATAGAAAGTTTGGCAGCGGCTTAGCACCTATTTTACCGCCAAAGTAAAATTCTGCTGCTGCTGAGAAAATAGTCCCTCAACATGCGACGATTCATGCGACGCAAGGTTAGTTTTATTTCAAACATTATTCTGTCAACACAGACATTTACATCGACAGTCTGGTGTAATAATAGATTTGTTTCGGGTGTTTTGTGGAGTGGGTAAGACTGTTTTTAGTGGCAGGAAAAGTATGACCATTGACATGTACTAGTCTAGCACCAGTGACCTCTGCAAATACAAGGACTGGATGGAATTAGGGGTGTCAAATTATCGCGTTAATTGCGATTAATTAATTACAGTCATATTTTGCACGTTATATTTTTTTATCACGTTAATCTCATTTTTAATCTCTAACTTTACTGTTTCTGTGCGAGTTGCCTTATTATAAAATCTGTTTTTGTGTTGTTGGGACAATAACACATCGCTTCCGCAAACAATAGTGATTTTCTTTCTCGTTCTCGCCGCATCTGCGATAAACCTGCACACGTCTGATCTCTGAAAACATCACGACACAAACACAGAACAGACTCACCTTCACCTTCAACACTCTGTCAGAACACTCATATTCCACTGAGTCGTGTCCTTCAGTCCCACAGAAGCTGAACCGCATCAGTGACACAAGAGCTTTTTTTTTTTTTTTTTTCTCGTTTAGTTTATGCAAATTAGCCATGCGGTTTTTAAGTTTCGTTTCTGTGAGACTTGCGCAAATCAGCATTAAACACATTATAATTTCAAACGAGCTGATGTGGCTCTAGAGTGTTCCTGGTTCATATGTAATAATAATAATGTAATAATTAATTTAAATGAAAATACCTCAAGTTGAAGGATTTTCTCAGCAATTTTTAGGTGAGATCAAAAAGAGATTAATTAGATTAATTAATTACAGATCATAATTAATTAATCTCTCAATTTTTTTAATCGCCTGACAGCACTAGATGGAATATTTAATAAAGTGTCTCCACACGTCTCCAACACTGTGGCTCACTAGGAAATGAGGTCCTATGTCCAAAAGTAAAACTGTCCGAACTGTCCTTCTTTTAAACACTATATTACAATACATTTTGAAAAGTAAAAGTCTTTATTTTGAACTAGAAGAAAAAAGTCCTGACTCCATTTCGTTTTGTTGCAGGTAAAGTGATCATGCACGACCCGTTCGCCATGCGTCCCTTCTTCGGCTACAACTTCGGCCAGTACCTGTCCCACTGGCTCAGCATGTCCCAGCGCCCCAACGCCAAACTGCCCAAGATCTTCCACGTCAACTGGTTCAGGAAGTCCCCAGAGACCGGCTTCCTGTGGCCCGGATTCGGAGACAACATCCGAGTGTTGGACTGGATCTTCCGGAGGGTCACGGGGCAGGCGGGCGCGATGCCGTCCACCGTGGGGTACCTGCCCTGCCAGCATTCCCTCGACCTCAGCAACATGAACCAGGACGTAGATCTGCAGCAGCTGTTCCGACTGGATCAAGCCTTTTGGGAGCAGGAAGTGATAAAAGTGAGGGAGTATTTCGCGACGCAGGTTAATGTGGATTTGCCCGACGAGATCGCGAGGCAGTTAGATCAGCTGGAGCAGCGGGTTAGACAGATGTAAATGAAAAATAAATGGACAAACTTATCTCATTTATAGCTTTTAAATGGATTTCTGTATGGTAAGAAATTAAATTAGGACCTTAGCCGTAGCAATTAACAATTTAAAACAAAATATTCTATCTTTTTGAATGGGTAAAATGATGCTTATACCCGAACTAGTTCATTTTTAGGCTACGTTTATATGATGATGGTCTGAACAGATGACGCAAAAGTGGACGTAAACGCATACGTGACCTGAGCAGATCTGACCATAGTTTTGTGTCTTGGGCAGTGTAGACTTTCCCACTCTGGAAGGTGGTTTCAGATTTTTGCATTTTTAAGACCCAAAAATGCTGTCACCATCTAAACCAGGGGTGTCAAACTCATTTTGGTCCAGGGGCCGTTTCCAACCTACTTTGATCCCAAAGGGGCCGGATCAGAAAACTCATGTCATATAAACCCCAAAAATAGCAATAAGTTCAAATATGTGTGCAGAGAAACACAAATCTATTACAGAAATCTTTTTTAATTGCTGAACTGAATTGATGAATTGATGAAAAATGCAATTTCAACACAATGTTTTAACCTTAACTTGTTTGCAAATAGGAATAAGTCATTTTTTCCTGGAAAATCCTGCACTCGGCTCCACTTTTCTCATTTTTGACATTTTTCTGATGAGGGTGTCACGGTCAACAGTCAAAACGATCGTCCTTTAAGAGCGTTTGGAAAGAGACAAGTCTTCATTTGTGCTGCTCTGGTGGGAGGGGCCACGTACAGAGACACTGGAGAAGCTGCTCTGCTCAGCGACGCAGAAAATTACCAATATTTTAATAGTAAATAGTAAATATTTTAGTAGTCTTGGAGGGTCGGATCCAGCCCCCGGGCCGTATGTTTGACACCCCTGAACAAAAGGCTCTTCCCATAAAACATGTTGTCATTTTTACCCACAAGCGTTTTCGTCTAAACACCAACTTTATTCATTCTGAGCATCCTAATTATTACGAGCACGATGACAATGATAACAACAACTAGCATGGTAACGCACACTTCCTGATTACTGGCCAAAGAAACACTTATAATTCGACATTATTTATATATATTTTGATCTCAAGAGGCTGAGGGAATGAAACTAAGACTTTTGGGGGTTAAAACTATTCCATGATAGAGCTGGTTTATTTTTTTATTTTAATTACATGTTATGGTAGTAGTAGTAGTAGTAGTAGTAGTAGTAGTAGTAGTAGTAGTAGTAGTAGTACGTCAATGCAATTTTTAACACTATACATGGTCAATTATCCAAATATATAGATTTAATTTAATATAGTTTGAGTCAAAGTTTTACTCAGTGATGTTAATTACAATGATGAACTGTGTAGTATTTACTATTATTGAACACTGTTAATTTTTTTAGATTTTAGTTACACTTTTGTTTAGAATAACGTTAAAGTATTGTATTTTTATTTTTGTTCTATTCACTTTTATTTTGAAAAGGTTTTAGTATTGTAGCTGCTGATGGTAAAACTGAACTGTTTTGTTTCTCTATTTAAGTAACTTATTGATGTGGGCACAGTTTTAATTCACTTTTAAGAATGAGTTCACTGCTCTCTCTGTATTATATGAGGTAATTTATTTTTCTACTTCGAAACAAGAACGTACCAATAAATATATTTATCTATTCACGTCATTTGTCTGTTTTAATTATTCACCAGATGTTTCTTGTAGGATGCTGCTTCCTTGCATTTTGCTCAGATACAAAAAAAAATAAAGGCAGGAGACGGGATAACCACTCTGCCACAGTCACACAGGGAAGAGATTCACAGTTCAGTAAGAGAGATTTGCCTTTTTTACCTCAGGAGGTTATGTTTTTGCCGGCGTTTGTCTGTTTGTTTGTTTGTTTGTTTGTCTGTTAGCAACATAACTCAAAAAGTTATGGACCGATTTTGATGAAATTTTCAGGATTTGTTGGAAATGTGAAAAGGAAGAACTGATTTCATTTTGGGGGTGATCCGGAAGAAATTCTGGATTCTGGATCACTTTGAAATTTTAGTTAACATTGTGGTAAATGGGGCCAAATATGTTGTTTCTCAATATCTCGATTAATTATTGACCAAACCTCATGAAATTTGACTCAGGGATGGACAATGGGATCCTCTTTCATATTCCAAAGGCTGATCCGGATCTGATCCAGAAGACTGATTTTATCGCAATTTATATAAAAAATGGGGGTAGTCCTTGGCGGAGGTCTGCGCTCTCTGAGTGCTTTTCTAGTTTTTGTTTTATAAAATGGTACTTCTCATAATAATTTTCAGATATGATACTTTTACTTCTGCTTGAGTAATATATTGCACACAGTGTTGGGGAGTAACAGATTACACGTACCGGAGTTACGTAATCAGAGTACAAATTATGAGTAACTGTATTCAGTTACAGTTACTGTTTCAGTGAGTGGTAATTGGATTACAGTTACTTTGTTGAAATAAATGGATTACATGGCGGGATTTTCCTGTTTTCACATTTTGGGCTATATCCCCCCTTTTTTTTTTTCTTTTTTTCTCGGTAATTCCACTCATTCCCGGACACTAAACCAGATCTAAACCAGGTCTAAACCAGGTCTAAACCAGGTCTAAACCAGGTCTAAATCAGGTCTAAACCAGGTCTAAACCATGTCTAAAACAGGATTTAACAGGCAGACCGTGTCTCCTCCTCTTCTGTCAATAACATTTTTAGAGACTCTGCCTTTTCATTTTCTTTTAGCAAACAAAACATCTTATGTGAAGATTACCGCATCTTTGCTTCTCTACAACAAATCAAGTAATCCAAAGTATTCAGATTACGTTACTCACCTTAAGTAACTTAATGGATTCCGTTACAAACTACATTTTGGGGTATGTAATCTGTAATCTGTAGGGGAATCCATTTTAAAAGTAACCCTCCCAACACTGGTCATTGATCACTCAAGCACAAGTTGTGTGTGAACTCTGCCTCTCTCCACTGGCAGAAAGAAAGAATAAATAACACAGGCTTCTGCACTGGGGAGTGGGTTAGGTCCAGTCTGGTGCCAATAAGGAATCAGTATTTCTGTTTTAGATTATTTCAGGCATGGGATTACTCCAAAATGATTAAAAATGTATGAAAATGTAAGTAATTCCAAACCCAAAAAATGCATAGTGCGCCCTAAAGTCCAACTCATTGCAAAACTCCCAGCATTGGTTTGAAGAAAGCTGAATTACAATGAATTAATATTTGTAAATGTTCTAATTATAACAGTAGTAATAATAAATAAACAACAGTAATCCTTATTTTATGGCTGAGAGGTGGGTTGAATTTATCATGAAAAACAATAACTTTTGTGTTATTATTTCTACTGCAACTCATTTTACAACTACACTTGCATCTTTTTCAGTCCTGCACTGCCCTCTGGTGGACTTGACACAAAATCACTGTTAGGGAAAAGAATTGGACTCCTGTCTAATTTGTACAACAGCAGCAGGACAAACCAGTTTCTAAACTATGGGGAATTTGAACTATATTCACCAAAATTTCACATAAGAGTCACTGTGTTCTTCTGAATAGTGCAAAATAAAAGAAATGCAGCTCACAAACACATTTTAAAGGTCTTATATGCAGTGTTGGGGAGTAACAGATTACATGTACCGGAGTTATGTAATCAGAGTACAAATTATGAGTAACTGTATTCAGTTACAGTTACTGTTTCAGTGAATTGGATTACAGTTACTTTGTTGAAATAAATGGATTACATGGCGGTATTTTCCTGTTTTCACATTTTGGGCTAAACCAGGAGTAAAACCAGGACTAAACCAGGACTAAACCAGGTCTAAACCAGGTCTATCATAAACCAGGACTAAAACCAGGACTAAACCAGGTCTAAACCAGGTCTAAACTAGGACTAAACCAGGTCTAAACCAGGTCTAAAACTAAACAGGTCTAAACCAGGTCTACTAAACAGGTCTAAATCAGGACTAAACAGGTCTAAACCAGGTCTAAACAGGACTAAACCAGGTAAACCAGGTCTAAATCAGGACTAAACCAGGTCTAAACCAGGTTAAACTAGGACCAGGACTAAACCAGGTCTAAACAGGACTAAACAGGTCTAAAACCAGGACTAAACCAGGACTAAAACCAGGACTAAACAGGTCTAAACAGGACTAAACCAGGTCTAAACCAGGTCTAAACTAGGACTAACCAGGTCTAAACCAGGTTAAACCAGGACTAAAACCAGGTCTAAACCAGGTCTAACTAGGACTAAACAGGACTAAACCAGGTCTAACTCAGGACTAAACCAGGACTAAAACAGGACTAAACCAGGTCTAAACCAGGTCTAAACCAGGTCTAAAAACTAAACAGGACTAAACCAGGTCTAAAAATCAGGACTAAACCAGGACTAAACCAGGTCTAAACCAGGACTAAACAGGCTAAAACCAGGACTAAACCAGGACTAAAACCAGGACTAAACCAGGTCTAAACAGGACTAAACCAGGTCTAAAACCAGGTCTAAACTAGGACTTAAACCAGGTCTAAACCAGGTCTAAAATCAGGACTAAAACAGGTCTAAACCAGGTCTAAACCTAGGACTAAACCAGGTCTAAACTAGGACTAAACAGGACTAAACCAGGTCTAAAACCAGGACTAAACCAGGTCTAAACCAGGTCTAACCAGGACTAAACCAGGACTAAACCAGGTCTAAAAGGACTAAACCAGGACTAAAACCAGGACTAAACCAGGTCTAAACCAGGTCTAAACTAGGACTAAACAGGTCTAAACCAGGTCTAAACTCAGGACTAAACCAGGTCTAAACCACAGGACTAAACCAGGCCTAAACCAGGTCTAAATCAGGACTAAAAGCAGGTCTAAACCAGGTCTAAACTAGGACTAAACCAGGACTAAACCAGGTCTAAATCAGGACTAAACCAGGACTAAAACCAGGACTAAACCAGGACTAAAACCAGGACTAAACCAGGTCTAAATCAGGACTAAACCAGGTCTAAACCAGGTCTAAACTAGGACTAAACCAGGTCTAAACCAGGTCTAAATCAGGACTAAAGCAGGTCTAAACCAGGTCTAAACTAAAACCAGGACTAAACCAGGACTAAACCAGGTCTAAACCAGGACTAAAACCAGGACTAAAACCAGGACTAAAAAAACCACCAGGTCTAAATCAGGACTAAACCAGGTCTAAACCAGGTCTAAACCAGGACTAAACCAGGTCTAAACCAGGTCTAAATAAACCAGGACTAAAGACCAGGTCTAAACCAGGTCTAAACCTAGGACTAAACCAGGTCTAAACTAGGACTAAACCAGGACTAAACCAGGTCTAAATCAGGACTAAACCAGGTCTAAACCAGGTCTAAACTAGGACTAAACCAGGTCTAAACCAGGTCTAAACTAGGACTAAACCAGGTCTAAACCAGGTCTAAACCAGGTCTAAACTAGGACTAAACCAGGTCTAAACCAGGTCTAAACCAGGTCTAAACCAGGTCTAAAACTAGGACTAAACCAGACTAAACCAGGTCTAAACCAGGACTAAACTAGTGTAACCCTAACATGTTGTTGTTACCAGTCTCTTAAGGCTGTGGGTATCTCTTACACTTGGATTTGATAATTGTAGTTTCTTGTAGTTTTCCTTGCTCACTAAAAACCGACAGTGTACAATACATTTTTATTAAGCAACACGTCTCTGCTCTTCCAGGCGCAGTGTGCGTTCACCTCTACCTCAACCCCGGTGCACTCACCAAACACGCTCCACTGAAACAACTAAACAACATAACCGAACCAACACAATGCAACAATGAAATGTCAATAAAATAAATGCAAAATAATATTAATTAATTATCCAAACAATATATAAAATAATAATCACACAAATTAATATTAATAAATGAAATAATATGCATTAAAATAAATCAAAGGTTACATACCATTAAAACCAGGATAAATCAAAGGAAACTAAAACCAGGACTAAACCAGGTCTAAAACCAGGACTAAACCAGGTCTAAAACCAGGACTAAACCAGGTCTAAAACCAGGACTAAACCAGGTCTAAAACCAGGACTAAACCAGGTCTAAAACCAGGACTAAACCAGGTCTAAACCAGGACTAAACCAGGACTAAACCAGGTCTAAAACCAGGACTAAACCAGGTCTAAAACCAGGACTAAACCAGGTCTAAAACCAGGACTAAACCAGGACTAAACCAGGTCTAAACCAGGACTAAACCAGGTCTAAAACCAGGACTAAACCAGGTCTAAACCAGGACTAAAACAGGACTAAACCAGGTCTAAACCAGGACTAAACCAGGTCTAAAACCAGGACTAAACCAGGTCTAAAACCAGGACTAAACCAGGTCTAAACCAGGTCTAAACCAGGACTAAACCAGGACTAAACCAGGTCTAAACCAGGACTAAACCAGGTCTAAACCAGGACTAAACCAGGTCTAAAACAGGACTAAACCAGGTCTAAAACCAGGACTAAACCAGGTCTAAAACAGGACTAAACCAGGTCTAAACCAGGACTAAACCAGGTCTAAAACCAGGACTAAACCAGGTCTAAACCAGGTCTAAACCAGGACTAAACCAGGTCTAAAACCAGGACTAAACCAGGTCTAAACCAGGACTAAACCAGGTCTAAACCAGGTCTAAACCAGGTCTAAACCAGGTCTAAAAC